AAGTATTGTGCAAAAATGTAATGGAGAAACTGCTATCGGAGCGGCTAGACTTAAAATCTTCGGAGAAAAAAGCGTTGGAAAATGAGAATAATGTGTTGGGCGACAAATTGGAGATTGAAGAGAACAAAAATGTAGAACTACAACTGAGCCTTGAAGATGTTGTCCGTAAAGCTCGCAATTTGGAGAAGAAGCTTAAATATATGAAATCTGCATTTTGGTGCATTGTTTTCTTTCTTATTACTCTTTTTTTCTTTAAGTAAGGTTGGGCAGAATAAACTATGATGGTGTTCTCAAGGCCGTCCACTTATTTTGTGTGTAATAACTGATCTTTTGTAAACCAACTTTGTACTGTTGTATTGTATAAACGATGACTTACTATGCGTTCGTCTTTTCAATTTAACATGATTATATGATTGGTCAGAAGGGAGTAAATTGACCATTGAGGGGTTGTTTACTTCATGGTCAAAATTTTTAAATGTGACACGACGTGCTATGACAAATCACGCCAGGTCTATAATTAGGCTAAAGCGTTTCTTTAAAGTCGAGTTGTTTGCAGTAAAAGGACTTCACGAGAATGTGTGGGTGCATGCGTCTGCCACTTTAGTTGGTCAAAATATTCACAATCGAAGAGACATGATATGACCAATCACTGCATGCCTGAACTGATTAGAAATCACTTACTTGCCTTCAAGTCCACTGTGTACATGTTTGTTTTGTGTTTTGACTGATCTTTTGTATAACTACTTTGTACTTTTGAACTAATGACAGATTTGTATACATAGCTGTATTGCAATATCATCTTTCAATTGTATTGACTGATTCAGGTCCAGTTTGTACTGTTTTGTTTTGTGTATTGACTGATCTTTTGTAGAACTACTTTGTACGGTTCAATTAATGATGTATTTGTATGCATAGTTGTATTGCAATATCATCTTTCAATTGTATGCATACTTTGTACTGTTGAATTAATGATGTATTTTGGTTAACTGTATGCATACTTTTTACTTTGTACATGCACTGTTGGTCAAACGGGCAGAATTGCCCATTCCATGATATAACAAGTCACTGCAAGTCTAAAGCTAGGCTTATGCTTTTCAGGTTCAGCTTTTCTTTAAAGCTGAGGTTGATTGGACTAAAGGGCTTCACGACTATGACATGATATGATCAATTGCTGCATGTCTACGGGTAGGTATCAGCCTTGTTGTTGCAAAGCTGAACTGATTAGACTTCACTTACCTGCAAACCATAATTTATGGCTTTTACAATGTGAAGCATTATTGAGATATGGTGTCGCCATATCTCTCTATTTAACCAACACACTTCAAGCAACTAACATCGACAAACTTCAGAACTCTTAAATCCACATACGCAGGAAGTAAACCAAAAATATCAGCTAGTTGTACTAAAGTCCGATGGCTCCTGATTTGGTGTAGTGCAGGGCGACTATCTGTACGACCTACATTGGACACCAAAGTTTGATGAGTTTCTAATCGACTATTTACTTGAAAACAAGTTGTGTGGTATTTTTGTTCCTTTTGC